TCAAATTAGGGTTAATACCTTTAATTTTTTGTCAAACTTTCATAAATAACTATAGAAAGATAATCGTATAGCTTGTTGGGGGTGTGCAGAATTTATTAATTATGCTTGAAAGAATCAGAAGGAATTTGTGTAGGTTGCGTGACTTTCTACATCCACAACAAATAAATAAACGAAATTTAAAATTCGATTAAGAACAAGACATATTCAATTAGAAATTAATTAATGTAACATTTATATACAATTCAAAACATTATACAAGCAGGATAATTGGTATATGTTATGTTGGCAAAATGTGTATGATGTTTTAGATTTCGGAATGTCTCTCTTTGTAATCGTTCGTTCATTTGCAGTCCGTTTTAGATTTGTGTTGATATTAAAATTGTTAATATTAAGTGTCTTTTTAGAAGGAGTTCTTAAGGAGTGATCTACCTTCGACTGTAATGTTTTTAAGGTCGTTCGCACATTGATGTTACTTAATAGGTAGTGAATATAATTCACTTTAGATAAGCAATGTTTGAGAATCGATGTCCACAGAGTTGGTTGAGTTTTAATTGTGAGTCAGCGTTGATGTACCTTTGCGCGGTAAAATCGTGATTTCGAGTGACGTAGAGTATGTTGGCAATTTCTCTGTGGGTGTTCGTTACTGACTGCTTGGGGCAGTCGGCGTTTACTTTTATAAGTCCTGAAAGTCCGAAATTGGCTCACTGAGTTTTGGCGCAATTTCGTTCTTTGCACGTGAACTTTCAGATTATTGTGTCATTAACCAATGAGATTGGTTGATTCGCCTAGTACGGTTTTTATTGGTTGAAGTTTTCCGAACATAGGCGTAAGATATAGACTGTTCTGTTGCTAGGGGTGATAGGTAGGAAAAAGACGCGTCTACAAGCTTTCTAAATTTGTAGAAACTTCTGATTTCTTTTCATTTTCTTACTTTCTACACCCATTTTTCTTCTACCTCTTCGAAATTGCTTCCTTTTCGTAGTTGTCAGCGGCTTTAAATTTTTCTTTTGTTCAAATCCCAGAACCAGCTGACATTTCCTTGTGAATGACGAAACCCTCTTGCTTTGTTGTTGTTCATTTAAGTTCAACTCCCAGCAACCAACCAACGACATTCACCTATGAAAGCTAAACTTCTTCTATTTGTCTTACAAACCAGACATCATAAATAGCCACAAATCGGCTCTAAATTGAATCAGAAATTTAATATTAAGTGTTCACAACTTACTTTCCCCATTAATTAAAAAATAACATTTACCTTTCTAACCATGCTTCTTTGCTAACATCGTCAACAAGCTTTCGTCACATCGCTACTACCAAACTTTCCCATTCGGCCTTCCTCACCAACAATATTCTTTGCTTCTGCTACGTTTGTCTCCAACTTCTGACAAGTCAGAACTTTCACAACTACGATAAAACTTGTAACACCTCCTTGCAACAGGGTCATGTCCTTGGCCACTGGCACCAAATAATGTAACGCCTTTCCCCGCCACCTACGCCCGGTGGTGTAACTACGTTTAGTGGTCCGGTCCTCAGGGTCTTAGGACGTCTCTTTAATCACGGACTAACTCTGCGCTTGTCAATGCTGATGCTGGTCCAAGCTGGTTGTTGGTCGCTAGCCGCTTCGATGCATATCGTTTCTGCCCACGTTGTGTTCTTGAACTCAGAGTAGTAGAAGATCAAATGTCGTCGTAGTCTCGCAGCACTGGTCAAACTGTGGCGGGTGCTATATTAAGGGAAAATATCTTCACGACAAAAGTAAATAAAACGATTCATGGGATAAATCTTCAATTGGTTTATATAGCTCTTGGTACAACAAAAATTCCCGTATCAATCTTTTTGGTGACACTGGGCTTTGTCTAAACTTTTTGAAGGCTGGGCCCGAAGTCTTGGAATCAGAAATTCTGATTGGCAGCCAGCGTAGATTCCAGAAGTACTCGATGCGGCTTCTCAGCCTATGCCATCGAGATAAAAAAATTTTCCCAAATCTGTTTTCGTCAAAGAAATATATTTGTTTACCTAAATTCTCAATAAAGAGACTCTCTGTTTTCCATTTCTGGTAAACCAGGTCACCAACTTGGCATGACATTATTGATTTTTCCTAACTTCGACCCTAAGAAAAAGGGTTCGTTCTCAGTTTTCATTTTCGTCAAGAAAAATATGTTTGTCTGATTTCTCAAGAAACAGATAAAGCCATTTTTCCGAATCTGTTTTTGTCTGCATACCACTCTCGATAGATAAGGAGAGAAGAAATCCAGAGGTCCCATTCTCATCGAGGAAAATCTCCTCTCTCTCTCTCTCTCTCTCTCTCTCTCTCTCTCTCTCTCTCTCTCCCAGCCTCAGTGTCAGAAACTTTCATTTTATCAAAGGACATTTTAACTGTATTACAAAAATTTGTATAATAAAAAAGAAATATAAAATTATATAAAAAATAATTAAAGGGTAAATAAAAAAAAATAATACAGTAGATTACATTTTTTTTATTACACTTTTAATAAGTGGAGTGCTTTAAAAACATCTATCAAAGAAGAAAATTACTAAGCCGTATTCTTTGAATATATATCAATAAAATGAAGCCAAGCGGTTAATAAAAAATGGTTTAAAGTAAAGATACGAACCCAGACTAATAAATTTCTAATGCAACTCTGAACCCATTTGTGGCTATTTAAGAATCTGGCTTGTCAAACAGGCAGAAGGAATTTGGCTTTCACAAGCGAAAGTCGTTGGCTGGTTGCTGAATTTAGATGAAGATAAACAAAGAAGAAAAAAGAGAAGTTTCTACAAATTTAGAGAGATATACGATTACCTTTCTATAGTTGTTTTTGAAAGTTTGACAAAAAATTAGAGATATTAACCCTGATTTTGAACTTTTTAACATGCGAAATTTCTCATCTCTGTTAGTAAACATAAACTATTGTTTAAACAAACAAGAACTCCAGCGATGCCTGTGAATAGTCAAGCTTCTTAACACCTTTCAACTGTCAAACGAATCAAAGTAAGTGAACATTGTGTTGATAATAATTATAATTGTTTTTAAGAATTGTAATTAGAACTTGTTATTTTGCCTAATTGTGTGGCGCACAAAGGAAAATTTTGTGCAGGTTTATTTTGTAAATTTTGTATTCTGTGTTATTATTTTTATGTCATTTAATAAATGTAAATTTCTTTCAATTTTCACACCGAAGTACTTTTATTTTTTCATTTGCACCATTCATAATACTCGGCATAAGAGATCTTGACGTTCTCTCTTTGCCTTCTCTCCCCAAAAATCCTTTTACTATCTTTGTAAATCACACTCTTTCAAGAACATCCTCTCTTTAACCAGTTTAATTTTTATGAAGCACTCAAAAGAATATTTTGTGTCGTCCTTTACAGCCTTCTTTTCCTTTCCAATTTTTAAATCAATTGTAAATAAACATTGTTTCTGTTCAATTTCACATCAACTACTAAAGTCCTTTTATTCTATTCTTTTTCCTTATGCGCCTAATGACCAATTATTATTTAGAATTTTCATTTATTTTTTTCTATATGGAAAAATCCCATAGGAGGATTTTTTGCGGATCAACCCACAACACTAACAGAAATACCAAGAAAGCTTGTAGAATTCTGTTCCTAAGTTGTATGCATGCCTAAAATATCCACTTTAAATTCGGCTTTATTTTATATTCAGTCTGAGTGGGCGTATAGATAATTACCATAAAGTGTATAAAGTGGACGCCTAAGGACCTTTTTAAATGACGCGCGGACATCTGCCTTGTCACTACTTTTGGTTTTTAATTATTGTCTGTTTTTAAATTGTTCCTTTTTTAATTATTATTTTTCCTACTACATAAGTTATTTCCGAAGTTGACTAGTTTCATGAAACTAGTAGTTTTATAGAAGTTCTTTATGCTGATAATTTTTATTACTCTGCTGCTCTAAAAAAAAACGGTAGATAATTTATTTTTAACTGTAATTTTTGTTTTTAAAAAATACATTTTGTTCATCCATTTAACGTGCTAAATGTAGCACAATTCATAATTACAATATTGGTTCACTTTCATGCAACAATGGTTCCACTTAATTTAAATTAGAAAACAATCACCTAAAAGTAAAAGTAGCAAAAAAAATCATCACAATTAAATTATTTAAAAAAAACGTTTTTAAATGCTACATAATATTCAAAGCAAACCAAAACTCATCAGTCTGAACTGACTAGAGAGTTAAAAGTAAATTTAAAAATTAAAATCTAAAAGTGTAACTGTTTCATTTTTGCTTTGAGTTCTCTAAATGCTTTTCGAATCTACCAGAAAAGAAAAGCTTCTTTTGATTAAAAAGATGCTCGGAGTTGTTGGGTATCAATTACAACGACTGCAAATTTTGATAAAATTCTTTGAATTTCTATTTTAAAACTTGATTTTTTTTTGTGTGTGTGTGTACGTTATTTCACAGTCCCGAAACTATACGGTGGTCCTGAAGTCTTGTAACCCCCTACCAAAAAGTATATGGAACAATTAGTAAATACAAAGCACATGTACTGGATTCAGTTTTTATTCCCCACGCTGTCACACATCAAGGTCTGTATGAACATCATCACTTTTGTTTGTGGCACAAAGTTGTTCGGCGCCATGTCTTGTGTGATATTTTACGAAGCTGTGCTTTGTTGATTGTTGCAAAGGCTCGCCGAACGACGTCCTTAACTGATGGGCATTCTAGTATCGTTCAGTTTATGTGAAACTATATCTCCTTGATAATAATACCCCACAGAGCATTGAAATAGAATTAAAATTATATTACGTAACTGTGACAAGACTTTCAAACCACTTTGTATTTTAATGTCATCAAAATGTTTTAATCATTATCGAGATATACGATGAATCGTCAAATGAAATTTCAAAGTTGTCTAACATTTTCTAAAGAAAATTCATTAGTTAATTTTTCTTCTTTGATATAAAGGAAGTACTTGCAAGAGTTACTTCCCTTTTGATTATGTCCTTATAAAGTTTAACTTCCTGCGGAAACAGATGCTATTTTATGGTAAGCATATTTGTTTCTATTGTTATTTTTAAAAGCATATTTTGTTGTCTACACTTGATAACTTGAAAGTACTTATCTAGTGTTATATATATGTATCTGTCTGGAATTTAATAAATGTAAACTCTGGATAAATTAACAACCTTTTAAAATACAATTTACAGAATGTATCTTAAACGACAAAACTGGGAAGTAAGGGTTATGTTGTGAGCGTACGCATAAAATAAAAAAACGAATAACTTTTCCATCAAACAGCGATATTTTACTTTATATAATTTATCTTATCGGTATTTATCTAAAGTTTCTAGTTCTGTTTATTACCATTGAATCAAGAATAATGTCTAGATTCTTTTTTAGTTCTCGCATCAACTTGCAAAAAGAAAGAACCTTGTCTAAAGTGTCTACTAAATAGGAACGTTATTTTCATAAGGTCTTTTTTTCTATAAAAAGTTTTTTAGTTTTTTTTTTTTTGTTAAACCTAGTTATGCAAATTAAAATAAGTTCATATATTATCATTTTTCCTTTTTTCTGATTTTAATTATTTCGATTAGTTCATTAAATAAGATTAGCAACAACTGTCTATTGTCTACTCTTTATTCATTGATGCAATTTTAATTTTCTATAATCAACGATCATCAATAGATGTTTTTTATGTTTTTTTCTCTCTCTCTCTCTCTTAGAAAAAAAAAAGAATTAAAACTTTTTATACGAATATTTATTACTATATCATCTTTTAATTTATAAAAAAAATTGAATTTTATCCGCCTGCAAGAATTTTTATTTTTTTAAAATCATACATTGATTTTTTTCATCGTCAGTCTATCAAAACAAAAACAATAAATGTCCTTTAAATTACTGTGTCAACAATTAAACTCTCTATTCATTAGAGACTGATATTTGATTTCGTAATGACAATGACTTTTTTTCTTAATTTGTCTTGTACCTAAATTTTTGAGTTACTTTTTTTTTCTGTCACCTCACCATGATGAGTTGAGTAATTAATTAAATTTTAAAGATATTTTTGTTACTTTACTTTGTTAGAATAGTATGAACTTTTTTCCCCTCGCTAAAAAACTTTCCTGTCTCAGTCAGACAATTGATTGATATCATTTCGATTTTTAACTAAACAAATTAGAATTTTTCACTTTTGAAAAGTTGAACGATATTCCAATATTGACTAATTTTCATAAGAAACCCATCCGAAATAAGCTATAAACAATTTTATAATTAAATAAATTAAATAAACTTTTATTACAATTAACGCGGAATCTACACAAAAAAAACGTCTTTCTTTATTCTTTGAGATAATTTTTAACAAAAAATTTTTTAACAAATCTGTATTTTTGTTTTTGTTTTATTTGAAAATTTATCATTAACAATGAATGATTAATGGATCTCGTTAAAAATATAAAATGAGTAAAAAAAAAAAAATGTAACAATATTGATTCTTCCGATTCTCAGTACGTACAAAAAAAAATAACAAAGCAATTCGTTTTGAAAATAAAAGATCAATTCACAACACAACGGCTTTGACATTTTTCGATGCCAACAAGTAGAATACGTCGATAACTGTATTTTTTCCTCTTTTCTTTGCAAAATGAATCTAGCAGCAACTGAAGAATAATTTTTTTCAATCGTAATTCAAAAAGAACACCTGTCTACTACATTTACTTTACGGACGAGCAGTTAAGCCTAAATTTATTAATTAAAAACCTAAAATTAAAGTTCAGTGGCATAACAAATAGTATAACGATTCGAAATGTAGCTTTATTTGTCCATGCTTCATTTTTTGACAACTTAAAAAATATTATTAAAGATGGAATAACCATTTACAGTTGAATACATAATTTTATTTTAGATCACATTTTTTGTGAATCCCACCTCCTAAAATAACCAGTTACCTACCTTGGGTATGTTACAGAAAAGAAGCATTTTTTTTCTTCTTCATATTTGATTTGATCAACAATAAAGAATAACATTAATTAATTTAAAATTAAAAGTTTTTTTTTCGTTATTTTTCAGGTAAGTTTATCGTTTCAAACTATGAATTATCTCCCTTACATTTCCCTTAATTTTTTTTTTTTTTTTTTTAAGTAGCCTCATATTACAGTCTTCCTTTTGGATTTAAAAATTCATGTATCAGAATCACGATTAAAATTAAAAATATAATTTATTCTAACTATTTTTAAGTAAAAACTGAAATCTATAGGGAAAAATGTAGATATATTTTCAGTTAATAAACCTGCAGATACAGAACCAAGGAAAAATGATGTTCTTGTTTTGAATTTTGGAAATATTTTCATATAAGATGAGAATAATAATTCTTGCCTAGTACAACTTTGGTTGTGTAATTTCACGCTATTTTCCGTTTTATATTATGTTATTGTTACTGATCCAAACAAATTTTAAAAAATTAAGTTACCTCGTGAAATCTCAGTAATAGTTGAAGCGAGTTAAAGGGGAAAGTAAGGGAAATAAATCGGTGTTTGGTATGCAGACGTTGTTTGAAATGCTCAATGCCCTAATTTTTTTTATAAAATTCAGAACTTTCTGTTGTGATGAGCTTTTGAAAAGTCTTTTCTACGGGTAGGAAATAATATTCCTTTTTGTATTCTTATAGAACTATCTAAAAATGGTTTCTCTTATCCATTAAATAACAAAAGGATTCTTTAAATTAAAATGACCTATTTTCTATATTATTCCGTTAATTTTATACAAATACTTTTTTTAAATTTTGTCATTAAGTTCACATGATGCAAGTTGGAATTGGGTAAATCTGTGGAGATGCTTCAAATGCCTTTTTGATAGCACTTAATTTGCTGAATCTACAGTGTTCTACAAAATATTAGTTTTAACTTCCTTCTGTTTTTAATGATTTTATTAAATCAAATTTAATATTTTTTGTTAAAAATATTTTTATTTTCATTCAAAATAATGTATAACAAACAAAATTTGTCTCTTATATATCAGTAAGAAGAAAAAATAGTATTTTCCAAAAGAAATTGTCCAAATAACTGAAAAAAAGATTGTCTTTTCAAGTTGCATTTTAATTTCTTTACTGCTAAAGAGTAGGATATATTCTTTTGCCACTAATTTTGTTTCTAATTCTTTGTAAATAATGTATCAGTTCAATTTTGCAATTTATCTTAAAAATTGATTCATATTTATATTTTATAACATCTACCCATGTCAAAGATAATCTGCAACTCGTAGATTACTATTTTAGATGACATCACATCATCTGTATATGTCATAGAAATAATGAAGGTTATCTTAAATTGAATTTTTAAATCTGCCAATTTCACCACTTCACATACCATAAAATTCAAATGAGATAAAACTACTATATTTGATCCATTTGCAGACCTTACAAGCAATTTGTATCAGCGCTTAAGAAATAATTCTAATCCTTTGCTATCTGCTCTTGATATATCTTCCTTTCATTTTGAATGTTGTCAGTTATTTAGCTGAGAACTTTTTATGTGTTTGGCATATTTTTGCTTCAGAAATTTAATAGAATTACTTTTTGAAAAAATACATTTCATTTACTCAAAAACTGTTTTATTTTTTCATATTCCTATTAAAGATATGTAAGCTAGCTCTGAACTTTCCTTTATGTGCAGTACTAGATTGGCAAAAAGGTCTCATCAATTTACAGTTGAAATTGTTAGATGTAACCATAAGTTCTATGTTAACAGTTTCTTCTATCATACTTTTCGCTTGTGAAACTCTCTTCCAGCTTCTTGCTTCCCAGTCAACTTTGACACTGCATTTCATTTTTGAAGATCAATCATCTTCGATCTTAATTATTATTCTTTTATTGTCCTCTCTTTCATTAATAGTACTTTTTCTCATATCCTCTAACACTCAGTAACCTCTTGCATCTTGGTGACTTTATTGCCTTGCTTGGGGTGAAATGATTTCAAATTAAAAAAAGGAAAGCCTAAGCAACCAATAACTGAAGATAGGGTTATTCATAAGCATCATATTTATTATATATTAAATTATTCATTAATTATAAAGAAAATTCAAACTTTAATTTTTCAAGCTTCAGACACACTGAATTTATTCATGTTTCTATATTTATTACTGCTAAACATCATTCAATACCAGGCTCAAGAGCTACACATGGTAGAGGGTTACTGTCAAAATAGTAATGAGAGGTGTGTGATATGAGTGGAAGAGAAAATGGTAAGAAGTAGGTATTATGAGGATAAAGGGGTAGGTAATAATTGACCCTTAACTTGAAGAGATCAAGATTAAAATGTTCAAGGAAGCACTCATTCAGTGGCAGGTTTTGAGGGGAAATCTATCAGTGAAACTTTCTTCATATACATAATAAATAAGGGTGATTTGACAATATGGAAGTAGTGTGACATGTCCTAACAGTAAAATTGGAAGAACTAAACAGTGGAGCCCTTCTGAACATTTGCCATGGAAATAGTGATAGAGTAGCAATAGTCTTGCAATATTGCATCTATGAGGAAATAGGTTGCAGAGTAGAAAATAAATCATCTCCTCATAAGATAATTTTGAACTTAGATCAAGGCTGAAAAGCAGCCCCAATCCAAGTATGGCAGCAATATTCCATTTTTGACCTGATCTTATTCTTGTACAGATACAACATGGCAGAAGGTGTCAGATACTTTTTGAAGCAATATAGTGAACCAACCATTTTTCAACTTTTGCAATATATGAATTGTATATATGAATTCCACTCAAAGCCCAGAGTGAACTTTAGATCTAATAGAGCCTCATTGAGAGTGCAACCCTATATTGTGACTGGAAAAAACTTGGGATCTAAATGGTGATAATACTAGCTTGGTTTTTGAGCTATTGTAAGTGACAAGTCAGTTATTACCTTATTGAGCTGTTCGATTTGAGGAAAAATTGGATCATCTATATTTTTGAAAATGTCTCTATAAGCAGTGGTATTATCTGCATAGATGTTCACTATTGATCTGAGACTGTTCCTAAACAAATCATTAACAAAGAATAGAAAGAGAATAGAGGACCAAGAAGAAATCTTTGGAGGATGCACTTGCATTGATCTCATAAGGATCAGTAGACTAGCTATTCACAATAACTTTCATGGACCTATCTGAGTGCATAAACTCATCCAGAGATTCCATAGCTAGGAAATTTATTTACCAAGACCTTTTGCCATACTTTGTAAAAAGCTTTTGAGGTGTGCTCTGATAAAGCTTCAAGTACCCTGCTGATTTTGTGGGAGATGACAGTTAAAACCTTGACAATTAACCAAGGGAAATGAAATCCATACTGTTTGTCACTTAGGAGGTTATTTTTTATGTGACCAGCTACCCCCTTAGTTTGCTAATGACACTAAGGAGGCTGATAGCATGATATTGCAGTGAAGATGAATGCTCACCATCATTCTTGAGAATGAGACAAACAGCTGACAACTTCCACAGGCTTGGGAAATGTTTCTCTTTAAGGCAACAGTTAAATAACATTGCCACAATTGAGAATAATAGCATCCATTAAATAAAACTCAGTCTGTTCATCAGCGTACTTAATTGTTGATTTTAAGAAGTGACTTTTGTGAATTTTTTAGAATTTCGCTCAAAGGTAATAAGCATGAATCTTTCATTTTAATACTCTGATAGTGTTCCTTCACTTATACTAAGATTTGGAACATAGTCTTAGTTATGTTAAACTAGGTACCTCCATGAAATCACTAAAAAAAGAGCATAGCTTGATGAAAAAGACGCCAACCTTGCCGAAAACAAAATTTTATTGTCTAAATGCTTATGTTATTATTAAGAGGAAAGACCAAAGTTTTTTTTAATTACTTTTAAAAAATTTTGGAAAATCTTGCAAAAATATAAATAATTGTCGGATGTTAATGAAACTTTCAGGAACTATTCACAGATGATCGAAATTATTATAAATTTTTTTTTTTTTTTTTTTTTTTTTATTAAAGTCATGGTAGAAATATTTTTTTTAAATATTTATTACTCCCCCCCCAAAAAAAACTAATTTTATGAAAACGCTAGAAATTCGATCACATCGAGTTTAGTGATTACAATAATTAAAAGCACAGGGCTTTGAGGAATGCAAATCATGTTTTCATGTACTGATCCGCAGTACCTGAAAATCAGCTCTGAATTGTAACATACAAAACTCAATAAAACAAAGATATTATTTAATTTCAAATGCTTTTATTTGCTTTTAGTTGTTTTTATGAATATGGACAATATTTTCTGAAAGCAAAAAAATTTTTTTTCAATGAAAAATGAATTTTTAATACAATTATTTGTTATTTCTTTAATTATAATAGATTTTACATTTAAGTTGTTAAAATATTATAAAATTAGTTAAAAGCCGCATCAGCTTTCCTAAGTGTCCTTATGAGATAGATCTTTTTTAGCGCGTTGTAAATTGTATCATTTTGACTAATCAGAAGATCCGCAGTAATTAAGAAATGTAATTTTGTGCTTATAACTGGGCTGTAATTATAAAGTATGGAAGACCAACCAGAATATAATTAAGTTGCGTTATTTGAGTTAAGCATTGTTCTCCGCTGTTAAGGCCTTTACTTTTGCGAAACACATGTGGAAAAGTTAAATTGATTTTTCAATTTCAACTGAGAAGGTTACCTACAAGTATCAGTATCATCTTATGAAATTTATATGACCTTATTTTTATATTAATCTCAGTTATGACATTTTTCCATAAATGAAATATCAAAATTAATAATAAAATGAATGCAAATACAAATTACAGTAAAATGTAATAAATGTACATAAAATTATAGTATTTTATGTACAGTTCTGATAAAATTTCATAAGAAAGGTACCTATAAATTAACTAGTTACCTTTCTTAGGAAATATGAAATTTAATGTCACTCTTATCAGTCTTATTTTAATTTCTTTAGAATATATTTTCCATAAAGCATCATAAACATAAAGGTGAAATCTAAGTAAAAAAAAAAAAAATTAGACCGCTGAAAGTTTTCGTTAAAAATAACGAGGTAAATAATTTGTTCACTTAAATGTAAGTTATTTCACTTTTCTCCTTCCGTAGAACAAATTAGCCTCATGGAATTCGTAAATATGTCATTCATCACCTGTCAAGAGACGCGAAAGTTTATGACCTGCTTTGTTTTATTTTCAAATTACATCTTTTTGGCACAAAAGCTAAGTTAAGTTTGATTCAAAATATTTTAAATAAACATTATAATTTCTGATTTTCTTAAAATAAGTTTTGAAAAAATGATAATTGATATTTAAAAGAATTTCAAAGTGAGATTTCCATTTTTTTTTTAAAATGGAAAAAAATGGAAAAAAAAAAAAATAGATTTTTAACAAAAACTTCGGACGTGCTAGGAATGATTAAAAAATGGAAAAAAATGCCCCCAAAATACTTTGATCTTTCCTCTTAATAATAACAAACATTTAGACGATAAAATTTTGTTTTCGTCAAGTTTGGCATCTTTTTCATCATGCTATACTCTTTTTTTTAGCGATCTCGTGGAGGTACCTATTTTAAACCAAGACTCGTTCTCTTTCAGTTCTGATTATAAATGACTATTAGTCATATAATAATAAAAAAAAGTTAGTTTCTGAAAAAAAACACTATAGAACTATTTTTGGACTCTGGTCCCATGTACACGTTGTGCTGCATTTGGAACAAGTCGGTGTTTTCTAAATTTTTTAACTGTAACCAAATTTCTTTAGAAAATTCTAAGACATCAATTTAAAATTAATGGATACCGTATTTACTCAAGTATAATTCAAGTTTTTATGACCAGTTATTTTATGCAAAAAATGAAGGATCGCTGTATACACAGTTAACATTTTTTCTAGAGGGGTTAAAATTCATGCAAAAGATTCAGAGGTCACACTATAGATGAAGTTTGCTTATACATGAATATATACAGTAATTTATTTTCTCATTGTTTAATCTGATCATTTCATATATTTTGTTATTGTATTTGTCCAACTAGAATCATGTTTGGATTTAAGATTTATATCTCCCTTTTTTAAGTGCCATGTTCTTCCAGGATGTAGACACTCATGATTCTCCACAGCTTTCCTTTTTCTTTAAAACCTGTAAACTGTATATTGTTGTGATTGTTCTTGGAAAAAATAGTGGAGTAATTTCCCTCTGCCAACTACAGTTTTTAATTCAGGGTTGTCCTTTTCTGAATTGGTTTTGAACATGGTCTGCTCTATAACTTAACCTATCATTGGAGGGAGAAGAGATGGGGTTTGTGCTTTTCCCAAGGACATTTGTGTAAAATGAACCTTGTCTTAGCTGGAATTTGAACTCTACTCAATGGTTCTACTTCCTCACTGTTAGTAAATACACTGTACTTCCACCACAAAAGTTACCTAGAATAGTAAATTTCTGATGATAACTATGATTTTATTTAATAAATCCTTTGCAGTGTGTGTACTTATATGCTATTATATACAGTTTTATAATGTTGATTTAGACTCGTATATTGATTTTCTTTTATTAAAAACATAATTGGGATAATTTTTTTTATATTTTAATTATTGTTTCTTTAATAATACTTTCAATATCTAGACTGGTAGACATTAATTTCACTATTTAAAAAAAATAAAAACACAAAAAATTGGATGTTTACTCAAATATGTGTACCCAATAAATATAACATTTATGATAATGAGAAATAATTTCAAATGTAAAAAATCCATTAATCGCTTAAAGAAATTACTTTTTCATGTACAAAAATAAAGGTAGAAGATATAGACTTGGAAAGGTACTAGCAGGTTATGTGCATTTCTTAAATACAGTCATTGAGCTTCACTTTGCTGTAATGTCTAATCCATAGCCCAATGGTAAAGTACATTTGGCTTGAAAGTGATTTCTCAGATTAAAAAGAGAATACAGGTTCAATTCCTTTGAGGGAGGCACATTTTCTTTAATCTTACTCTAATAAGATTAAGTCTATTAAGATTGTACACTGTGAAAACATGTCAAAATAGTGACATTTCTTACTACATTTTTTTTTTTTTATAATTATTTGCAAAGGATTTTTTCTGTTTGTCAGTGTTTATTATTAATATGTAACTTTTCTTTGACTCTTTCAGGAAGAATTAACTATACAACAATTAAAAAATGGGCCTTGATTTCAAAGAGGCTTTCTCCAGTTTCCTGCATCAATATTTTCATGCCAATGCCAATTTCTGGAATTCTGTGAAGATCTATGGCAATTTTAAAGTGGCTGTAGATGAATACCAAGAGGATTATCTCTTCAGCGAAGTCATTACTAAATCAGACTGTTGTTGCTCTTCTAACCTTTTAGATAAGGTAACTACTCCAATTATTATTCGAGGCTCAGGCCAGCCACAAGCCCCTATTATTATTAAAGAGGAGCCAAATGAGCCTAATCGACCAACAATAATCTCTAGTGATGTAACTGTTAAAAATAGTTGCAATATAACTACAACAAACACAAATACTACTCCCACTCTCAGCACCAGCCCTTCAACCAACAGCAGCACCTCTACAACAGTTGTTGATAAGGCAACTACTTGTGGCACAGATGGGCAACCGAGCCATGTTGAAACTGAAAAGACTTACACAGTACTGTCCCCTGACCCAACTTATACAATCCCTCCAAGGCCGTCCCGCTGGTACATTAGCAACTGCCAGCCCCAAGCCACAGACATTGATGGGCGCCCAATTATACCATCATTGCTGGTCAGTTCAGCAACTACAGTGCCATCATCTCCCAACAAGATAACTGACATGTTGCAGATTACATCCTGTGAGGGAGATGAAGAGGCAGCTGCTCTGCAGACATTTTCATCTGCACAAGAACATGAACACATACCTACTGAGGACACGGTCACCTTGCAAGGATCAACTTTCACATCTGAGGCACAAGTAGCAGGTGAGTTTCATTTGTTTAATTTCTTTTCTTTTCCCCCTTTCCCATCCTTTTCCACTCAGTCTTATAGATAGAGGTTAGGTTTCTAGAGGCTTGCAGCAACATTGAGCCTGATCAGTACCTTAATGGGTGACTGCTCGGAAATACCAGGTGCTGTAAGCTTGGATGTATTGTAATGGATAATGACTCAGAATTGTTAATTCGAGAGCAGAGTTCCAATTTCAGTTGGGTTTGTTATATTCACTTACACACAAATGCCCTTGGGACAGTTATGAATCCACCTCTTCTTCCCACAACTATGGATTAATTAGTAAAACTTGTATTTTCTAAAAATATTCTTAAAATCTGAAAATATTTTCTGGCTTTAATTAACCTGCAAAGGATTGATAAAGTCATAGAAAACAAATGAAGCAATCAATAGGTTTGTAGGTTTTTTTTGGTGCCTATAAATTATCCTTTGCTATTAGGTGGTTAATGTATTTTTAGTCATTATTTTCCAACCTTCCTGTTTATGTTAAAATAGATTAATGTTTGTGTGTATGTGTCTCCATATAATTTTTAAATGGAATTTTTAATCTGACATTATTTCTTATTACTGTAAATGTTAGCTTAACTGTGTACATGTGTTTCAATTGACATCCCTGTTATTTTAAACAGTGAAATTAATGTCAACCAGCCTACAATTGAAGAAATCCTTACTAAAGAAAAATGAGACTCCTGGCAGGACCCAAACCTGTATGACTTTTTTCAGTCAGGGAAACCACTTCTTTAGCTGATATGTGCCTTACCAATTAATAATCAATTTTACCAACTAGGCCATGGGAAAGGTGAATTGACATTAATTTTTACTGTTCAAAATAATAGGGATATCAACTCAAACACATGTACCCACTAAAATAACATTTATAGTTATAAATAATGTGTGTGCAGGGCCAGCTCAAGGTACTGGCAACTCAGGCAGGACGCCGTCATGCCACCATGTCATGCGTTTAGGATCTTCAAAAACTAAAGCTTATAAAAACATACTTGTGGTCATCCATGACTCAAGACAAATTCTTTGTCTATTTTGTCAATAGAAAATGATCTTGTAAAGAAGATAGGAATAGAAAGTGCCATGAAAATATTTGCAGATCTAAAGGATAGAAAAAATGCTTTAGGTAGGATAGTGAACATTTTCTTTAGCTTGTATTAAGTTGTATATTGTAATAAACTCGTTAATTTATGTTTTGCAGTTTTTCCTTGTGAAAATTTTTAAAAATTATACTTGTAAGAGTGCCAAAGTTCAGCTTGCCCCGGCTGCCAGCAACTCTAGGGCTGTCACTGTGTGCATGTGTAATCTGTATATAAAACTTAGAAATATTCTTCAAATCTTTAACAAAAGCATGATAAATTTTCATAAGCATGAGTAAATGAAAAATCAGTGACACTTATTCAATTTCTAATCTAAAAATAAAACAGCTTGGACATTAAAAAGGTAATTGTTTTTCTTTAATGTAATTACATTTTTGTAAACTGCAATTTAACTTTTTTTTTCTATTAGTATTACAATACTTATTTCATTTTCATTTCTATAAGTTAAAAAAGAAAACTCTGTTAATGATTTTAGAAATTGTAATCAATTGAATTTGAAATATAATCCAACAAAATTTACTAAAATGTTTTGTCATCAATTGATAAAATCATTTGGCATCAAATTAAGAGAATTCACTTTCTTTGATTTAACTAATACTATATTTTTTTATTGTATAGGAAATTCTAAATCATTTTAACTAGATATTTAAAAATTATGAAGATTACTGAGACTGATAACAATTGGGAGTAGTTTTTTCTTTTCTTATCTGAATAGTATAAAATTGACAAGTAAAAAGTTCTTTAGGACACTACTACAAAAATTCATCTTGTTCACCTCACTAAAAAAATTTTTTTTATTTTTTAAAAATATCTTAGATGCAACCTCAAAATCATGCTTGAGATGATTATCTTTTTTTGTTAATTTATTAATTGAATTCAGTGAACTTGATATGTTTTTTTTTTTTTTTTTTTTCATGATTATAAATTTTTTTTCTTACTATTCTATTTTTATTCTTTCTAAATGGTTTAGATAAATTTTGATGTAATATTTTTTAAGATTTGAACCTTCTTTTTTTCACAAAAATAATTTTTTTCAAATTTTTATATAACTAGTCTGCATAATAGGTGAAGAACTGAACAAAATGGAATTACTTCTTAAAAATTACAATAGTATAATATTTACAGAACAAAATATTTCTGAAAACACTTTAGTAGCATATGTTAATGTGCTAAATTGCATAATTTAGATTTTAAGCAAAGTTAACATCTAAAAAGGACTACTTAGCATCAGAAAGAGACAATTGAAATTTCTAGAACACATAATTAGGAAAGAGGACTTAGAAAATTTGACAGTCACAAGACATATTGAATGCAAGAGGGACAGGAACATAGTGCATAACCTACCTAATGAGCTTGTGTAAATGGTTGGCAGAACAGGGGTTAGGAGAATTAGGAGCTTCAGTAAGTGCTAAGTGCTACAAAGGAGAGGAAATGGTAGAGGGTCATGATCAACCACATCCTGAAGTACATAAAAGTTTATTTGTTCAGCATTTGATAATTTAGATATTTTCATTGATCTTACATCAATTAAAATATAACCCTATTGTAGAATGTCATCCTCACATTCTAGTATTTATGTCATTACATCATTACTTTTTGCCTGGATATTTATTTCAATTATTCTTATTATTCTTCAATTCTTTTTTTCTTCTATTATTCTTCTTCTTCTGCTTCAATTCTTATTCTGTTCTTCTTCAATTGAAAGTCACTAATTCTTTTTCAAAATACTATCATAATCATTTTGTATTGCATATCATTTTTCTCATTTGCCTTAATTTCTACAAGTTTCTCGCTAGTGGTTTAAAGTTTACTTATCCTGTTTCCTATAGGATACACCATATTTTTCTGCTAAGATCTTATGTGAGAATTCTTAAACTTATTTTAATTGTCTTTATAACCCTGAATCAATATTTCTTATTTATTTGTTACATATTGTATTTCTCATCATATAATATGCACTTTCCCACAAAAAAATTTTGCTCCAAAACCAACCTGTAAAAATAATTTGAAAGCCATGGCTTTTGATGACTGCTATTCGCCAGAATTGAAATATCACGTAATATATGATGGCAAATATATAGTATCTTGTCTGAATTTGTATAAGCAGTTTTTAAAGTACTTGAACATTATCTTTTTAAATTTAGTGCCTCTGGCAAGTTAGTTTCTCTACATATCAATCAGTAAAAAATATAGATTTTCTTTAGTTTAAAAAAACTGATAATGTATTTATTTTTATCTTTTAAATAGTCTTCATTTTTTTTTTTTAATAAAACCAGAATATGTGTATATTTATAGTAAGCACCTCCACTGAATTTTCAATGCCTAGGGTTTAAAATGAACTTTTAAAAATCAAAAAGCATTCTTGAAGCTTTAATTTTAGCTTTAATTGAAAGCTAAATGATTAAATTTACTATTTCCAATAAGCAAAATACTCTGGTGTATTTCAGATAGAAATTATATTGAATCTCAACTTTTTAATCGCTTTCACAAAATCGCCCATTTTTTACACATTTGTAAACAAAAGTTAATTCTGGCTTGTAAAAATCTTCCAAAGATAAAATATACTTTTCTGAAACTTTATTTGAAGAATATTAACTGATTTAAAGTATAATTAATCTGATTTGAAAAAATATTATTTTAAGTTTAAAATAACAGAGAAATAGATTTTTAAAATAGTGGCAGAGATTATGCGCTTATCACCATCACTTGTCAAGCAAAATAAAAAAAAAAAAATCTAAAATAATTTAATTTATTTGTGAATAAATCCTGAAAGTTTCATTAAAATACGATAATTATTTGATTTTTGCAAAAATTTACAAATCAATGTGTTCTTCACCAGAAAAAAAGCACACAAACACCAATCATTAGTTAACGTGGACTGCTGACATAAAAAAAACAAGATTTTTAACCAAAGTTTTGAACATATTAGGAAGGATTAAAAAATTTAATGAAAAAATACTTTGGCCTTTCCTTTTAATAATAGCACAAAAATTTTGACAATAAAACTTTGTTTTTATTAAGTTTGGGGCCTTTTTTCATGAAAATTTGTAAACTTGTCAATGGTTCCATAACGACATTAATACCAGTTGTCAAAGAAACAATTGCATAGAAAGTTTTAATTTTCATAAGATTTTATATCATATTTAGATTTTCATAAGATTTTATATATAAAAAGTAATATTAGGAAAAAATCTGATGTAAAACAATTTTCTTAAAACTGATTTGTTTTGTTTTTGAAATTTATTTAAAGTTGTAACCCAAAAACATGTTGAAAAATATTCATTGCCAAATATTCGAATTTGAAAAATTTACTAAAATTCAAATAATGGATTTTAATAAAACTTTCTATATTCATTGATTTACTAAAGTTATTTGTTTTAAGATAACCATTTTTTTTTTTTTTTTTTTTTTTTTTTTTTTTTTTTAAGAAAAAAGAGGAAATATTTGTTTATGCATGTAACACTCTCCACTTGTTTAATTTTATATCCATTTTACACTGTTTTGAATTCAGAGTAGACTTTCTGATGTAATAGAATAACCTGTGACCCCCATGAGTGACTACACTATAAGTATCTGTAAGTCAACGGACTACAGAGTCTAGCTGGGATCTGTTGAGTACAACTCAGACTTACGCAAGAACTACTGACCTTCCAATATTAGCACTCACTACTAGATTAACTTGCGGCAACCTTGTGCATAACTGTTACCTTTATTCTTATTGTATTGGTTTTTACAATAAACCTTTACTTATTTTATCCACTGTGTTTTTAAAGTATATATTCCTATTAGCACAGAATATAACACTTTCTCTTATACTAAAGCTAGAGAGCTCTGGCTACATTAGTATTTAACTTATAGATTGGAGTACAGAG